CACGGTCATGTGATGCGTTCTCCGTTGGTGGCCGGCACATTTATTTCCTGAGGCTTTTTCGAGATATATGCACAAGCATGATAAGAGCCCCAATTGGGTCAATACTCAGCCTGGGCACCCGGTCCATACATCTCAGAATTGCTATGAGGAGAATAATGTGGCATGTAATCTACGTCGACGGATTTCGTCCACATAACTAGCCACGGAAATTCTCGATGCCTTGCCGCGACCGGTGAGCACATCACATGACCGTGGTCCCGGATCGCCGGCCATCATTGCTTCCTCACTCTTTTGGACGCGCTCAATCGAACGAACAGACGAACGGACGAACGAAATAAGAATTGAGCAGCACTAGAGAGAGCGATTGTCCTGGACCGTTGATTGCCCGGCGTGCAGTACTTGTGCACTGGCAGTTCAACGAGCGACTACATACGAGACCCGCGTCAACAATCACCCAATGTGGCCGCCTACTTGTAACGGCGCCCCCGAACTAACATGGGCATGTTCCCCGCCGTCTTCTGCGCCTGCAGCTTGTGGAGGATAGCGTTGAAGGTGTCGTTTGGAAAGTAAGCCCGGGTGCGTGTGCTCACGCTCTACGATTGATGTGTTAAAGAAGCTGAACGTGTTCGCAGCACTCGACGGACAAAGTATACTAGTAAACACCTAGTGAGGATGCACTGAACTTACGTGGTTGAGTTTCACCCTGCGAAATGAGACATTGGTCGACGATTGTGCTCTTCGAGTACGTACATATTTACCTACTATTGCATAACACTGTTGTAGATCCTCTCAGAGTGAAGTGGGATTCCGGAGCCAAAGAAAAAGCTGGAGTGCCTTTCCATGGCCAGGCTTTTGGATAGGCTTTGTTTTTTTCGAATCCAGTTGTTGTCGCCAGGGCGTAGCCCTATGTTAGACGACATGCCTGTATGTACTGCTTTCACTCCATAGACCGTGGTGAATGAACATAAACAATGCGTAGCTCCCCCTCAGGTGAGGTGCGGAGTGCGCGGGAGTCCTGTGTTAGAAAAGTAACGGCGGTGGCGGGTGGGCGTGAGGTTTGAAAAAGTAAAGAGTAGGACAGCAGTTTGAGTCATCGCCCGGGTGCGTCAAAAACCCCTGTGGGGAAAAGCTACCGGATCGGATAGGCATGCTAACGACCGCATCGTCTAACGATGGCGGTGGGGATGGGCAGCGTGGTCGTAAGCCGGTCCTTCCTCCTTCTCCTCGTCCTGCTCCGGCACAGTCCACTCCGCCCAATACGAATCATCCCACCACTCACTCAATTTCTCCTCCTTCTTTTCCAGATCGATATCCTTCCTTCGCATCAGCCGCTCCCACGTCTTGAACTCTTTGTCCGTCAGCAAGCATGCGTCGAGCGCCTTCTTCTCGTTCAGTCCCTCGCCGATGAACACGATCTCCTGCCGGCGGTCCCCCCACTCGCCCTCGAAGTCCTTCATCACCGCGGCCTTGACGTCCTCGTCGAACACCCACTCCTCCTCGGGTACCTCACAGAACCAATCCTGCTCGTACTCGACGCGCAGCATCGCGCCCGCCGTGTTCCACGAGCCCGCCTGCTTGAATCGCGTCGCGAACCACAGCCAGCCCTTCGAGCGGTGCATCTTCGCCCAGAGCGGGTCCGCGGCCTTGGCGGCGACGATTTCCATCGGGTCGCGCGGGAGGGACTTAAAGAAAGGGTCTTCCTCTTCGTCCAACTCTTCCTCCTCGGGCTCGGGCTCGGGAGCGCCTTTGCGTTTTGCGGGGGTAACTTTGGGTGCGTCGGCGGGAGGCATCTCTTCATCGCCGTCCACGTCGCCGTTGGCTTCCTTGCCGCCTTCGCCATCCTCACCTTCCTCGTCCTCGTCGTCTCCTCCGTCTGGCTGAATGAGAACGAACTTGCCCGCAAGGAGTTTGTAGAGCTTCACCGGGTCGAACGGTTTGCGCGCCAGGTAGACGAAGCTGCCAATGTTGTACCTGCGGCCCAGTCAGCTCCTCGGCTCGTCTACCAGGCAGGTATACCCCGGTTACTCACCCCAACGTTTCCGGTTTGGGCGTCTTCCGCTTCCTCCCGCCCGCATCCATGATGAGCATCTCCTGCAGACTCGTCAACCAGCCGGGCATCGTCTGCGCCTCGATCTTCGAGTGCTTCGCCTCAATCACCTTCGCCTTCGGGTTGAGCACCTTGATATACCCCTTCACGCGCTCCTTGGTCGCCTTGTCGACCATGTCGGTCTTGCTAATGATGATGACGTTCGCGAACTCGATCTGGTCGGCCATGAGGTCGGAGATGGTGCGCTCGTCCTCCGCGGGCACCTCCTCGCGCCCGAAGGGGTCCGTGAGGAACTCGCCGGTGTTGAACTCGGAGAAGAAACGGAAGGCGTCGACGACGGTGACCATCGTGTCGATCTTGGCGATTTTCTCGAGGCCGCCCTTCTTGGCGCTGCGCGCGGACATCAGCGAAGATTTCCAGCAGAGAGGAGGGGTCGGATGGCTCACATTCGCTCGATGATTTCACGGTCGCTGCCCCGGATCTCTTCGGGGATGTCGAGCATCTCCTCGCTCCACGCTTGTGTAAAGGTTTCGGCTACTTGTTGCGGCTCGCTGATACCGCTGCTCTCGATCAGGACGTAGTCGAATTCCCCGCCCCAGGCCATTTTCGCCAGCTCGACGAGGAAATTTCCGCGCACAGTGCAGCAGATGCATCCTGAACCACGGCATTCCGTCAGCGTTATGCGTCTGCAAAATACCGCGGGACGGGCAGCAGCATACCGTTCTGCATCTGCACAAGGTTGCCCTTGTCTTCTTTCGTGGAGAGCCGTGCCACGTGCGCGCCGTCGATATTAACTTCCGCCATGTCGTTGACGATGATGGCAATTTTGAATCCATGGGTGTTGGACTGGAGGATGTGCTTCAGCAACGTCGTTTTACCGCTTCCCTATTTTAGAAAAAAAAATCAGGTAAGCCACGGTCAGATTCTCATCCAAGAGAGCGTAGGACTCACCAGGAAGCCGGAGAGAACGGAACGGTGACGGAGAGGAGCTTCTGCTCGCTGTTGGTTTTTTCGTGCGTCTCAGTCATGTCTGCTGCGTCTGCCAACGCGATGGATAGCGAGACGAGAAAATGAGGGGGGAAGGGAGACGCAGGAAACACAGAGGAGAGGAATTGCGAGGATGGCTGGAGGGCCACTAGTACTGGGGCGATACCCGCTCGGTCAGTGACCAGTCATTGTATCTGGATTAAGCACACGATCCCGCCGGGATCTATGCCCTCAACGCGCTTTTCGTAGTGACCGGCCCGACGTGCAGACAGATTTATCTCCAGGAAATATAAGAGGCCTCGCGCTGTTGAGCGTCAGATAGGGTACAGTGCGTTCAGCGCCAAGTACGGGTATATAGGCACGTCACTCACAAGCGCGGAAACACTGCGTGTCACAGAGTTCACGATATCATGTTGCGTTTCCTCTGTCCATGGTGGTTTGTTCTTTCGTACTGAACAATCTTCGATCTCGGACGAACGATGGTCCGCCCGCGGCATACCTGCACTGAGCCAATCGTGCGTTCCGGTACCGGTGTATGATATATTGACATTGGGTAACCGTTCTGAAATACGAGTAGTTTTGTGGGGCATATTGCTCTCATGAATCAAGGAAAGAGAAAGCAACAAGCCCTCTATGGGGGATAACGCGTTATTGCTGAAGACCTGTACATACAGATCGGCTTGCGGCGGCGGCGGCGGCGCCCTAAGAAAAAGCCACCAATCGGGTCTGCAGTTGACGAGTACATCGGTGTGGCAGTCGGAACACGGCGGAGGGGACGTACGAATCGGTCGGTGTCGGGGAAGACGGTGTCAGTCATACCGTCATCGTCATCAATGTCGAAGTCGGGGGCGCTCGGTGTCTCCGGCCACGTTTTAAGCTCTGCTGCGCTGTCTCTCTGTGGTGGACGCGACAGCACGCGACGCCGACGACGCGCACATCTCATCCTTGACGAATGCGAAGGATGAGCGGGCAGCCTCCGCGATGGGGACCCATCCGGTCGATTCTGGCGCTGTCGCCATTGCTGATAGGCGCGCCGTTGTTTGCGCTCAGGCAGCATTACAGTGAGTTCGTAGCACGCGACCCGGAGGGTACTCGCTGAACTTGACTGCCTTGTGTATTTACACAGCTTTGCCGGAGCCTCTAACCGCACTGTACGTATGCCGTGCCATCTCGGTTTTCGTGGACTGACGAGGTTTGTATGTTTGTAGCTACAACCCTACAACGAAACAGCCACAGCTATCTGAAGCGCGAATACTATCGCATGCCAAATATCTGTCTGAAGATATCGGATATCGGATCGTGGGGACCAAGGAACATGCTCTGGGGGACGAGTGGATGATTCAACAGGCGAAGGAACTAGACGATGTATGTACGAGGGCGAAGGAGAGGAGTCCGGAGAGAAAGCTCGAATGCGAGTGGTGGTGGCAGCAGGGTAGCGGCAGTCATCGGTGAGTGTCGTGCGTTCTGGTCGTGAACGTCAGCGGGAGCGAACGCGTGAAGCATGGTTGCATCAAGTACGAGCGGGCCCCTGGGCAAGAGCACGGCTCTGTGGAGGGCTCTATCCCCCTATGATCGAAAGGTACCGAATATCGCCTTCTGACAATGTACCGCCAGCTTCGACATGATGAACAAGCGGCTATACAAGACCTATGTGAACCTGACGAACGTCGTGTTCCGCCTCTCAGACGGCACTCCCGAAGGGAAGCAGGACGCCGTTCTGGTGAACGCGCACGTCGACTCGACTCTGCCTAGTCCAGGCGCGGCCGATGACGCGCTCCCCGTGGGGGTGATGCTCGAGTGTGCGCGAGTGCTGATTGAGACGGATGACTGGGAGCCGACATATGCCATCGTTTTCTGTAAGTGTCCCATGATATTCGCCGCGATTCACGTTCCGATGCTGCTCAGTGTTCAACAATGCGGAAGAGTCGCTGCAAGACGGGTCTCACCTGTTCTCGACGCAACATGCCATCGCGAATACGTGAGTCAACGGCTTTCTCGTCCGTAATACTGGAATTCACAGGTACAATCAGAGTGCGCGCCGTGATCAACTTAGAAGGTCAGGCTAATGCGTCTCACCATCATATCATTCGAAACTGAGACTCGTTTCCCTAGCTGCTGGCACCAAGGGCCCGGAATTGCTCTTCCAGGCCACCTCAGAACAGATGATCGAAGCGTACTCGCACGTCCCAAGGTCATTGCGGTCCTCTATTCTACGTGAGAAATGCATGCTGACAGCTGATGCATCCTGCAGACCATTCGGCACAGTCCTCGCGAATGACATATTCAGCTCGGGGATCCTCCTGTCAGAGTGAGTGCCTGTCTCCCATTCAGAGGGTCGGGTGAACGAAGCGTTGCAGTGATGGCGTCGGCTGACGGGTAGACAGTACAGATTTTCGGCAGTTTGAGCAGTATTTGAACGTTACTGGCTTGGATGTACGTTTATCGGGCCGTTGATCGCGCTACGCTGTTTATTGATCTGCTCATGGTCGAGTAGATGGCTGTTGTGGGGAACAGCTATCTTTACCATATGCGCAAGGTCAGTGTTGCGAGTACGTGCGGCGGTCGCGTCTGATCATGACTTCGTATACAGGATCTCGTAGAGAACATCGAGCCCGGTGTTGCCCAGGTCGGTCATCTTCTCCAACGTTTACGCGCCTAGATGCTGATATCTCTCGCAGCACATGGCAGAAAACACCATGGCTTTGCTGCAGCACCTCTCCTCACCCGCCTCACCCCTCCACTCCCTCGCGAGCGGGTACGTCAAGCCGCGCACGGTGTTCTTCTCCCACCTCGGCACGTTCTTCCTCTACTCGTACGCCACCGCGCGGGTCATGTACGCGGGCGTGTTCGTCGCGTCCCTCCTGCTCGCGCTCCGGATTAAGGGCGGCGCGCGGGGCGTCAGGCCGCTCGCGAGGGGAATAGGAGCTGTCGCTGGGGGCTTTTTAGGGGCCCTTGTTGGCGCTAACGTGGTTGCGGCGGTGATGCAGCGCGTGCTTGGCAAGGGGATGAGCTGGTTTAGCTGGGAGCCGGCTTGTCTGGGGTTGTATGGTCCGGCTGCGCTTACGGGTAGGTCTTGGTGCGGGTTGGAGCCGTCGTTGCTCATGCACCTCTGGTTTGTTACTCCCAGGTGCTCTCGTGTCGCAATATCTCATCGGCCACGTGCCGGAGCATACAGTCATGACTTCGATGCTTCTCCTCCAGTCATTCGCTGCGCTCGCGATTCAGCTGCTGGGAATCGGTTCGGCGGTGATGTTCTTCTTGACGAGTGCTCCGTTGCTCTTAGCCCTCGTGCTGGACACTCTGAAGATTACGAGGACAGGCGACGGCGTGTCGTTGTGGACGTACGCCTTGGCCCAGCTGACGCCGCTGTTGACCGGAACGCAGATTGTGGCGACCGTTTTGGATGTCTTCGTGCCTCTGGTGAGTACACTTTTCCTCCCTGTCGAGACGGGTGGATTTGGGTAACCACGTACGATCACAGACCGGACGTATTGGCGGTGATGCTCCAGGAGAGCACATTATTGCCACCATAGTCGCCGCGACGGGTGCATATACGATTCCTATGGCCCTTCCGTTCATGCATAGGTTCGGGACGAGGGTGTCAAGTCGTGTGGTTGTGATTCTCAGCGTCATCACCGCCTTATCGATGGCATTGTTCGCCATGCGAGCTCCTTTCGATAGGTTGCATCAGAAGAGGATGTTCGTCATTCATATGGAGAATGTAGGCTCTGGATGACTCGATCTTATTGTCCTGGCATGCTAAGAGGTCATCGCAGGTCACTTCAGCTGAACAGCACTTGCATATAGCTGCTGCCGACGCGGCTCCCGGTTTCGACACCCTTGTCCATAGCATGGCGGAGCAGTTCGACGCTCATGGCAAGCCTCCTACTTCTAGACAACTTTCGGATTGGGACAGTGAATGGGATGTGCTTTATCCCTTCTCTGCGGTTCGTATAGAATCCCATATCCGTCGGCACGGGTGATGCGACTGAATGCTCTCACCAGTTCCTCTCTCCATATATGATCGATATGCCCGTTGACGAACAATATGATGGGGAACCGTCAGCGGCTGCTGGAAAATTCGTTGCTATTTCTACTACGAACGACGTTGTAGACAAGGAGAAGGGTACTCGCAGTTTCACTCTCGTGGTTCACCATCCGGGCATCATCTGGACAGGTGCGTCTATTAAATAACATCTGTTGGCGAGGCTGATAGTGTCACAGCTGTTGCGTTTGACGCCCATGTATTGAAATGGACCCTGGACGACAATCCCCCGGACGAATATGCCCGCCATCACATCAAAGAGGCGTCATTCTACGGAAACGATCGATGGAGCGTCGACCTGGTCGTGAAATATCCCTCTCCCATCTCTTCTGAGATCCCGGAAAACATCAAAATTGATTTCGTCGGAATAAAAGAGCAGTCCATGTGGCCCGGTAAGAAGGCTGAGAAGCAGTTCGGTGGCTCAGCGATGCGCACGTTCGAAGCTTTGGATGCCTGGTTGGATGAGCAAACCGTTGGTACAGTAGATGCGATGTTGATTGGATGCGTCGGTGGCATCGCCCTCCTATAATTGCTCCCAAAAATTGCAACATATTTAGGCATCACTGAAGAAATATGCAGAAAATGAAAGATAGTTCCTTGGTTTGCTTCCGTCTCTCGTGCTTCAGTCAATAATACTCCTGTGTGAGTTTGCCGTGCTTGATCGGTCATATCGGCTGACACTGGTGTACGGCTCACTTGAATTTTGCATGTGGTGCGTATTCTTAAGCTCGGTGCTTATTAGGGGATGCCGAACTTACCACTATTCCCAGAGATGATGTAGTTTCGGTGTATTATGCTCAGACTACCACTCGTATGACGAGCCTGCAGATATCAAGTCTCCGGTACCTGATTTATAACCTGGGACTCACCGCTCCCATGAATTGTCTCCCAACTTTCGTAGAACTGCGCGACTTACGAAGCCATTTAGTCCTAACCTCTGAGCTATCGCGTCATGGTTGGAAGCAGGATTAGGGTGGCAGTATGGTACGTGACGCACCGACTCTGCAGTTGGGATCACAAGGTCACGCGTCGCAGTGGGGCAGGCATCGGCGGGCTCGCTTTGGCTGTCGTCCTTGCGACATACGCCGACTCGTCAGTGGAAGTTGCTGTCTATGAAGGCGCTCCGGCAATCACCACTGTGGGCGCTGGGATCAGTGTGTGGAAAAGGACCTGGCGTATCATGCAGCTCTTAGGCCTTGATGCTGAGTTGGCTAAAAAGGCGATTGAACCGCCTGACGACTCTCCAAGTAAGTTCCGCAAGTCCTCTTAGCTTCCTGTATCCCACATTCGCTTTCCGCGTTGCAGGGCCAGGACTTGCTTTTCGAAGGTCGGATCAATTGTATGCTGGCTATGATTTCGATCAAATGATAATGCCATGTAAGTTATTGCGAGGTGACCACCGAAGCTGTGTTTAAGCCCGTAAATATAGATGGCGCCATCACCCTGCATAGAGCGGACGTTGTGGACATATTAAAGCGTAAAATACCCAATAGGTATTCGGTTTCGACGTCAAAGAGAGTAAAAGCCTACACAAGGGAGTTAGACGGATCTATAACGCTACACTTCACAGATGGTAGTCTTGCCAACTGCGATGTTCTTGTGGGAGCTGACGGTATACATTCCCGAATCCGCCAAAGCATGTTCCGTCGCATAGCGGAACATGACGGCATGAGCGACATCGCAGAACTGGACTCCATCCAGAGCAAAACCGGTCCAGTGTGGACGGGCACTTTGGCATACCGGTCCTTGATCCCCAAGGAAACCTTGGAGTCCGTACATCCCGGACACCAGGCATGCGTCCGGGCAATCGCTGTAAGTAGATCGTCAAAGTTGAATTCGGTTTCTGAAGTCTTCATAGTATCTAGGCAAAGATAAAGTAGGACAGTCCGCTTTAACAGCTTGTGTAGTCCTCATCCCCTGCGTACAGCATTTTATTGCGTATCCTGTCTCTCAAGGCCGCCTCATCAATGCGGTTGGATTCTACACTGTCCCTCGGGCGGAAGGGACCCCATTCGATGGCACATGGGTCACCGATGTTTCGCGTCAGGAAGTCATGGATCGCTTCGGTGCCTTTGAACCCGAAGTGCAAGCAATAGCTAAGGTGAGCACCCGACGCTATGCTCCGCTCCCGTACTCAAGTCACGTAGTGTATGGAATGCCCGTCGCGATGGGCCATCCACTCCATGGCCTCACTACCTCACTACGCTTACGAAAGAGTGGCAATCATCGGAGACGCGGTAGGGGTCGATGATCATACTATACCACGCAGCGACCTGATCTCATACTACAGGCGCATGCAATGACGACTCATCTGGGTGCGGGTGCGGGTCAAGCTATGGAGGTAAGCGTACTTTGATCGACCTCCGTGCTCATGACGACCTGCTCCTCAGGATGCCTATGTCTTGGGGCGACTGTTGGCTCATCCGTCCTTGACTCTGGACAAGATCCCAGACGCCTTACGCATTTATGAAGAGATCCGCTTACCTTTTGCTAACACGGTCGTCAAGGAGTCCGAGATCACAGGCTTGTTATACGAATTTAACGGTACTATGTACGACGGCCTCGATCGGTCCAAGGAGAGAGAAGAGCTACATACTCTAGCAAAGCAGATAGAGAAACAGTGGGAGTGGCACTGGACAAAGGAGTTCGACAAGGACTGGGAGCGGGCCGAAACTCTGCTCTCAGACGTCCTAGGATAGATAAGTCCAGATGGTATAGTATACATAGGGCGCACAATGGGCCGGGAATCACTATCATACAGGTCGAGATATGCACGGGCAGTCGCAACATTACACACCGGGGTACCATACAAATACTCCGAGATCAAGGTCCATGACAATGGAAGAAAGCCATCACGTGGACCTAAAACTATTTTGATCTAGGACACCAGAGTCTTGCATAAACGAAGTCCATCGCTCGTCCAACCTGGACGCACGGGAAACTAATCCAAGTTCGGCTAGTTCTGCAGGTGGAGCAGGATAGTGGGGATGATAGGAGGCTTGCGGGGTGAACTGTCGTTGTGGTTGATATGCCTCCCTGGAAGACGATTGTAGTTCCGACATTGTCTCGCCAGGGCCAAAACGGCGCTCTGCGTAAGCATGCGGATGCCAGGAGCTGACAGGGGAAGGCGTATAATGAGGAGATTCGGTGGTGTGTGGAGGACGACTGTGCCCGTATGACCCATCAGGACCGGGATATCCTGGGTACCAGGCCTCTTCTTGCCTGGCACCCGAAGAGGAACCAACTATCGATAATGGCGGTAGTACAGGCAACGCGATCGGCTGCATCTCCTTGGCTTGTGCGTCATAGTACGCAGCGCTGCGGTGCTGGCCGACACTGCGTTCGGAGGGTACCACCTTGGCAGAGTCACAACGCCGCGTTGATACCAGTCTGGTGTGGCCGGCGAAAATCGTGAGTTCGTCTTCTCGATCCTCCGGGGTAACAGACCCAGCGGTACCGACGGGAGCACTATGCGAGTCGGCACGGTACTGCGAGAGCGCGTCACGAGCTTTTTCGCAAAGCTTGACGATCACGGGCTGCAAAGGAGTCAGAGACATGACAGTCAAAAAGAGAGGCTGCCTACCAGAGCTTTAGCAGCACGTTGACTAAGCCTGGCAGCTCTCATGAACATCACTCGCGCCTTCTCAAGCTCTTCGGCAGCGCTAGGGGCCAAAGCCGATTGGGGCCCTCGTGTAACCACCGTGCCAAAAACAACCTAGATTCCGCATGAGTACTTGCTACTTCCCACAGCAGGTCTGACGCACCGCAGCAGAAAAGGCATATGTCCAAACCGTCCAGAATCGCGCGACTAAATCAGGGCAGACTTCGTACTGGTTGCTGATCGTGTTGAGAATGACGCTGGACGCGTTGTAGGCGGAGACGAAGGACGTCGCGTAGCGGCTCTTGAGGGGATCTTCTGGATGCTCGATCACCGCCTGGGCGAAGAAACTTCGGTGTATATACAGGAGCGCTTTCGGTTTGACATCAGGCCACGCAGAGCGTCGTGAGCATTACACATTCAAACGCACCTGTCTCCCGGATATTGCCCATGCAAAATCGCTGCATGGACTCGGCGAGGGCTAGTCGGCCTGTCTCCGGGTCACGAACGTCGTAGCTTGGCATAGGCGTGGCATACTGGGGCATCGGGAAGTCCCGGACTTTGCGGTCTAGCTCCATAACGGTGGTATACGAGGGAGTTGTCGTACCCAACACTTTCTCTACAATTTCCGTTACACACTCTGCTGCGAAGCGATAACCCCATGATTCAACTGGGAACTGGTATGAGGAAAGACAGGAAGGAGCATTGGGGAGAACGAGAGACGTACACTCGCGCTCACCGGCAGATTCATGGTCCTTGCTTGGGTCGTTATCTTCGGGATATTTACAGTCAACATAGAGCAGAGAAAACGTGGGCGGTCGGCCACTTGCCAGGCTCTAATATGTCGCCTAGTCAGCAATGCTTCCTGCTATGTTTGCCCGCTCGCACCTGCCAAGCGTCCGCTAGGAACAAATCCCAGAATATGAACCGTCGCCTTTGAACCATCCGGTACGGAAGTCCCCATCTCGCACTATCTCTATCTGCAAGGGTTGTAAGATCATGTATGTGATACTTGGGGCAACCCGCTTACGTAGACCGATCTACAGTGCGTGATTAGTCGAGGCCTGTCCCAGAAAGACCACATATACTTACGGACACTGCAAGGCGGGATCCGAGCGCTACGAGCTGCCACGTCGTCTCCATACTTGTATCTCTCCCATGCGGACTCATCGCGTTATATATACTCATCATATGTATCGCCTGCACCGTTACGAGACTCGGCCGCTCTAGCACACTCTCCAGGCAGATCGCCGCGCTCGCGATCTGGAAATAATGCTCCGCCTCGGCGTCGCGTGGGCCGTCCGCGAGGTCGACGAGCGTACCCACCGCGAACACGAGGAAGAGGAGCGCGAGGTGGTGCGGGCCCGTGCCGCCCGCCGAGGGGCGCTTGTATATCGCGGGCAGGAGCTCGTCCATGAGCTGCGAGCGCGGGATCGCGTGGAAGAGCCACGCAGCGCCCTCGAGGTAGATGTCGCACAGCGCGAGCGCTCGCGTCCAGGGCGGGAGGTACGTCTCGATGAGCGCGGTCACCGCGGGCGGCGGGCCCAATGGCGTGAAGGGGAAGGAGGCGGAGAAGCGCGAGACGTCGTCGGGCAAGCTCGGCGCAGGGGCCTGCGCGGGACGCGTCAAGTGTTTTTCGTCGTCGCACTGTGGGGCATGAGGGCATGGGTGGCCGATATATAGGATAACTACTTACTATTAGTAGACTCTGTGGTGGCGGGCGCGGGTTAGGGTTACATTTGGCATCGATTTGTTGGGACTGACCTCTGAGCCGCCTGTTGGGCCGATAAAGCGCGACGCGCCGTTCTCCGATATGGAGAGCGTTCCAAACGAGTTGGCGAGCTCTGGTGCAAAGTCACCGGGATCGTCTTCGACTGAGGTGGACTCTGAGGTGCTATGTGAGGCGAGCGACGACGGCCCATCGCGTTGTAGGAGCGGGTGAGGCTCTGAGCTGAATTTTGCTTGGAGGCTGGCGAGGGCTTCTTCGAGCTCGCGATTTCGGGTCGTCAGCCTTTTAATTTGGGAGTAAAGATGACCGGTCGCTTCGATGACGGATCTAACGAGAAGTTATTTCCAGAAGGCGGGATGAGCGCTATCGTTGTCTTTACCTTGTCCCCTGTCCAGTCGTGAAGCAATCTGTTCATACGGACAATCTGTGAGTGGCATGCGCAAGTATTGACGGTCATGCTTACCGTTCGGACATAAGATCTCGCATCCCCGTCTCTATGATGATGTATGGGCAGGATCAAGCAGTGCGGGCTTTGAAATACTTACCACGCAAGATTGACAAGGGATTTGTTTGTCGCACTTGATCTTAAGTCTGTAACCCGAAATAACAAGCTTTTAGCCCAAGACTGCACGCAACGGGGCCCGCGATTGATCGCACCTCCGACATTCCGCACATGATATCTCACCTCTGCTTCGCTTCAACTCAATCTCGCGGGCGTGGCCGAGCTCGTAGATCCTGTCTTCTGAGGACTTGCGCGCAGGCCGACGCGCGCGGCTCGGGGCCACGTCTGCAGGCATGCACTGGGGGCGGCGACCAGTGAGTGGTCGAAGTGCAGTGGTCGGATAGTCAGTTTTGCCACCTGTTTCTTGTCATGTCCTTCGTTGGTCGTGTGGATGGGAACGCAAATGGTTCAGCGGGCCCAATGAAGTAACTCCGATGATTCGCCGATACCGCCCGTTCTCACGCCGGCATCAGGGATTATACACGTCCGGCGCGATAAACAAGCTATCCGGTTGGCTCCCATAATGCTCTCTATACATATAAAATGAGCAGCTCAACCGCTCCCCCGTAATAAACCACCTTTTGTCATGTATTCTCTCGTCTGTCGACGCGAAATGTGGCAGCCCTTCGGACTCGAATCCGAGCGGTGGCTGACGTCAACAGCCGGTGTGCCTGTGTGTGGATCGGTTACACGTGTATCTCGGCGTCCAGAACTTACGGAGGGCAATAGAGCGTATTTGCAAGGCCCAAAGTACGACCTTTGATCCAAAATTTCGAGGCATGGCCTGACGATTTGATGGAGGTTGACCCCCTCAAAATATTGAGGTGACGGCACCTCCGAATATTGAGGTGCATCTAAAAATAGAAACGAGGGTTGGGCCACGCGAAAAGACAGGCCCGCGCACAGAGTCGAACTCTGGACATCGGGGAAAAGGATTACATGATACTACAGTGAGCGTACTAGACCGCTAGGCCATAAGGCAGTGGAAAGATAACAAAATACATCAACTATGTAGTTCTGGGAAACAAGCGCGCCCTAGGGTTCGGGTTACATCAGATGACATAACATTTGATGTGATCGGCCGCGGTCTTCCCCGATCACGAGTCCATGATGTCCATCAAATGTTATGTCATCTGATGTAACCCGAACCCTAGGGCGCGCTTGTTTCCCAGAACTACATAGTTGATGTATTTTGTTATCTTTCCACTGCCTTATGGCCTAGCGGTCTAGTACGCCCACTGTAGTATTATGTAATCCTTTTCCCCGATGTCCAAGTTCGACTCTGTGCGCGGGCCTGTCTTTTCGCGTGGCCCAACCCTCGTTTCTATTTTTAGATGCACCTCAATATTCGGAGGTGCCGTCACCTCAATATTTTGAGGGGGTCAACCTCCATCAAATCGTCAGGCCATGCCTCGAAAATTTGGAGCTGCTGATCCAGAGGATTTAGCCGAGGGTCGCCTACCTAAACCGGTAGCCCTTGCTCCACCCGTGCCGCGAAGTCATCTATAAAACTCATATTTCTCGCTCACTCAGCTTCATTTTTGTTCAACAAACATCTACGGATACCTACGATACGCCTTGTACAACTTTTGCGGTAGTTAGACACGATTTAGAGAAAACCGAAAATCAACCGTACTTCGCTGAGAGAGCGTGCCGCGCTGATCCGTGAGTCCTTCAGAAAAGTGGAGCGCCTCTCCGCAAACTTTTGGGCCTTGCAAATACGCTCTAATAACAAGGGAGCGAGCAGGCACTGGGCCTTCCGAATATGCTTCCAACAGGTGGTGAACTCTGAACAACGAATTGTCATACAGCGCATACCTCGCTGGTCAAACCTCGCGGTGCAAGCACGTCGCTGTCAGGTACGCCTAAATTGAGAACAAGCTTTCCGCTCACTTTGGAGCTTGATTGACAGGTGCGGCTGCAGCTTCTTGTGTCCAAGACGTAACAACGTGTACAGCCACGGTTGTAAGACGCAAGGAGAAAACGACGCCAGACGTAGTCGTGATTCCAGAATCAATATAGGATCTTGAGTGCCAGTCGTCACTGTTGGCGAGTTCATATGCGGCAAAGCATCGCAGTTCACACGTCGCTACGTTACTATCAACCGCACGCGCTATGCCCTAGGCTGTGGCAACGTCTGGGAGAGGGGGCTTCGAGCTTTTGACGGCTCTGGGTCACCCAGAAAGATTCTAGCCCGTTGGGTATATTGGAAGCTACCCTTGTGTGTGCGTGTAGTTCTGTTCGTGCCGCGTGAACCTTCCAAGCTAAAGGCAATCATTATTATAGGTATATTGGAGGCGTGAAGGATGACTTGTTCGACGACAGTCTGCAAAGGGCACGGTAAGTATTATTGGCCTCTGTTCTCAGTTCCCAGTGAGTTACCCCGCATCTGGTGCCGCTTTGCCGTTTGCTCTCGGTGTATATCTTAATGATGGGAAATATATCGTGATCGTGGAAGTACTCTCTTCGTTTCGCAGATTGACAACGTGGTGCGAAATTGACACCCGCCCAACTCTGTATCTCGATACCTATGGACGGCATATTCTCCCCGAGATGGCCGAGGTTTCAGAGCCGTGCATTTCCAGTCTCCGTATCCTGCCAAAGTACGTTGCAAACCCCCCAAACGATCCGTCTGATGGCATACAGATCCACGTACGCTGCATCTGCATAATTGTTCCCTGATTACTCGTCTCCCCGTCACAGCAGATAAGTAACTCTCAGTGCCTATTCGCTTCGAAGCTGTTCTCGTTGATGTAAGCTTCAGATTATCCTATAATATACTCTCGTAATTGGAAACGCTCCCTCCACAATGCTACGCAGCAGTTCCGTGTGACTGGTAAAGGCTGTTCGTGTCCCTCGCGCTGCAGAGTCTTAGGGTATCCCGATGCCAAAGCTAGTTCTGAGACCTCCATCTCACGACCATGATGAGAACATTTGGGCTGGAGGCTTGTCTCTGGATGGTTGCACATATGCATGTCTGAAGTGCCTCTCACTGCAAGTCTGGGACTCCATTACTGGTGCTCTTGCATATCCTGCAGGCTGCAAGGAAAATCCTTCACACTACTGTGCAGGCATATGCTATGAATTTATCACCAGAAAGGAACCTACTGTTGGCAAGCGGTTCCGACTTGATCATATTTGATGTGGCTGGAGATTCCGAGCTGCTGTGTATCCTCACAAATGAGACTGTAATATACAGTGCGACCTTCTCCTCAGATGGAGAGTTGTCTTGGGATCATTCGGGAATACTATATACAAATCTGGGATGCAGAGATGGGTGTCCCTGCTTTCCTGCCACTGACTGGTCATAATAAGCCAGTTCCTGTTAGGTTTTGGTTGTATTGGATGCAGAGCCACTGGGACAAATAGGTACAAACAGCTTGACTATATACTGAGCCACTGTATTTCCTTTGTTCCTTAGTTCATGCAATTGACCTTGCCTTCAGTTTTTGTGTGTGTCTGGGTCTGGTGTGCTTATGGCCACCCATCTTATGCTTCCCTGTTCTGCCTGCTGCTCACAGTTCCAACAGTTTGCTTCTCACCAGATGAGTCATAGATCTTATCCGGATCCATGGATTTCACCATGCATCTCTAAAAGGCAGAGACCGGAGAGGGTGTTGGTGGGCCTTTCCAAGGGCATGAAGCCCACATCAATTGTGTGTCATTCAGTCCAGATGGCACACAATATGCTTCGGCATCATCTGATGGAACTGCTTGAATTCGGAATGCGAAAAGCAAAGAGCTAACTGGGGGACCACTCAGAACTGACCGAAACTCTGTATGGGCAATTTCATGTTCGCGAGAAGGAAAGTGGATAGTATCATCCTACTGGACTGGCGCAATCTGTATATGGGACATTCTGCAGGTAGAACATACCAAATTCTGCTAACTCTTGAAAATCACCCTTGGTGCGAGCTCGTAATTAATCTCGGTTCCACGATACTTGCTATTCACGCCCATCTCGCATTACTAGTATCTGGGTGACGCTGAGATACACCTGGAGTACCGTAAACGAAATACCCTCGCTCATGTCAGAAATAACGTCGAAGGGAAAGTAAGTGATTCCATACATCAAAACACCTTGTCATTGAATTGTCTTACACGCCCCTTCGAGCATGTGTTCAAGGAGCGTGCTGAGCGCTCTGTGCTCGTACATTCGTCCACCTCTCGCATATCTCACCTGTTGTATCCAGAGTGTATCTGTAAAAATCCTACATTCAAAGGCGTCGGAAAAAATAAAGCGAATGATGTACCGCGGTGCGATGTACAACGCGAAGGTGGTGTTCAAACCGTTGGTTCTTGGGAGTGGCTGGGGTGCCGAACACGAGCTAAGGTTAGGGTGGAAGGAGGGCCTCCCCGCGCACTGCGGCACGCGTCTTCCTTGTCCTTCCTTTGCGCAACCTCTCACTTCCTTGCTATTGCCAGCACTCCCCGTTGCATCCGAGTCCGTACAGCTGTGCTGTTCGATGGGCAAACGGCGTGGAGCGGTTTCAGGCTTGTCCCTTTTCGCCAAGGAAGCGTTCGGTGACCAGCTTCTTACACCATCGGCACTCAATGTCTCCCAGTCCTCTGCCCAAGCCCTCGACGCGGAATCTTTTCTGCCTACTCAGCGCACGAATAACGGACCTGAAATGCCTCAGGACAGCTCGGCACCTCCTTCGAAACGCCGCAAAGTAGAACTACTAAGGTCTAGTCGGGGTCGGTACGATGCGACGGGCCTAGTCCCGTTCTACAGGGAAGAAGAGGAAGTTCCTGCAGAGTTGAGAAAGTGTGTGTACTGTTTCTAACCCACCCTCGTTGGATGTGGCCTGGTACTGAGTGTCCCAGACTTTTCCCAGCGCCTCCGCCTGTTCTCGCTCTACCCTCGCGGCGCATTGCTCGATCCCGTCGGCTGGTTTTCCGTCACTCCTGAAGCTATCGCCGCAAATATTGCCGAGCGCTGTCGATGTGATACTATCCTCGACGCGTTCTGCGGGGTTGGAGGGAATGCGATCCAATTTGCTTTGCGCTGCGAGAGAGGTGAGTGCGTTGCTCGTCTCGCCATCTTTTCGAGCAAGGTTCGCGATAGCGTGAACATACCGCCCAATAGAGCGTATTTGCACGGCCCTGAGTAGCCGAGGGTTGCTCACTTAAATTGCCAGCTCTTGGTTCCACCCAGCCTGCGAAGTCGTATGTGAAACTTTCTTGTTCCCTCGACCTTTTTCTTGTTCAACTAGCCTCTGCAGAGACCTGCGATATGTCTTGTACAGGTCTTGTGGCAGTTAGACGCGGTAGAGGAAAGCGAGAATCAAATGCACTTCGCTGAGAGAGTGCGCCGCCCTCATTGCGAACCTTGCAGAAAGTTGAACCTCTCGGAAAACTCTTGGGCCTCGCAAATACGCTCCAATAGGAAGCTGTACATGCTACTCTGACATGGATCCTCTTCTGGAGACGGTTTCTATAGTTCTACCGCCTTGGGTGGCACATGGCGTCTCATTCGCTATGATTTCATCTCTAAACTTACTGATCTCTAGTGATTGCTCTCGATACATCTACCACCCGCCTCCGTCTCGCCCGACACAACGCTGCGCTCTACGGTGTCGCCGACCGCATCGAGTTCATCCTCGCGGATTACGTCGATTTTGCGAGATCCTACGCATCTCGTACGCTGACTCTCGTTTATATCGTGTCCTAAAAGTGCTAACACAGACGATGCGGGGGTCAGGAAATACAGCAACGGATAGCGTGCACCGGAAGATTGACGTGGTCTTCCTGAGCCCGCCTTGGGGCGGCCCTGGATATATCGATGGGTAGGTCTTCCAGATCGCTCTTTCCAGTTTTGAACGTGTGACTCATAACATGTTGCTCTCGCTCTCGCTCTCCCCTATCCCCTACGGATACACCAGCTCTACACCGACCACAGTATCCGACCCACCACCCATACCCCCGACGCCTACCCCTCAATCCGAGCAGACACTCAGTGCTCCTCACCCGGAGTATTCCCTACGCGACATCCAGCCCATCCCGGGCAAGGAGCTCTTCGACCTCACGCGGCAGATAACGCCCCACGTTGCGTACTACCTCCCGAGGAACGTCAGCATGGAGGAGGTTGCGGCGCTCCTGCCGGAGAAGATCGAGGTGGAGGAGCAGTGGATGGGGAACAAGCTCAAGGCAGTGTGCTGCTATTTTGGGGGACTTGTGAGTGGGCAGGAGGATATGTGGTGATTCTTGCGAGACTAGATTGCGCTGCTTGTGGGCTCCACTCGGGCATCGATATCCTGCTTCGCTAGCTTTTCATGAGGGTCTTGAGTCATGGAGACGCGGCTAAACTGAGTCTCATAACCGGATCCAAGTTCTCCGAAAACCTACTCCGGCTTCTAATGATCGAGGAACTCCGCGGCCTCGCCGAGCCACGAGGCGCCAGATCGTTCGGAATACGGCAGAGCACTGATGACTTCAAACGGCTCGACGAGAGGTACATCTACATCGCCATATGATGCGCCTCTGTCGCGTAGGTCGGTAATTTTGCAACATGTTCTCCATATCCTCAGCACCGCTGGGCAATGTCAGTAGCCTTGGTGAATCTCCGTGTGTGGCGTTCATCGATTATATGGTGCCCGCTGCAAGGTAGCTCCAGTGGCCCCATCTTGCGGATGAGAATCAGCACGATGTCTCCCGCAGCTAGTGAAAGCCCAAACCTGCGGTCAGTCACGGTGGAACATCTGTCCCCCACGACAAGTCCAGCAGAGGTAGTATCTTATTCTCTGCCCGCCATTCACTCGCCCTGGAGTCGGAAATCAACCCGTCGACGTACACCCTACCTTCGCCCCTTCCCAAGCCCATCAATCGCTCGACATCCGGGAGTACGTCGTCGACCTTGAACACCCCGCAATGAGTGACCCGGAATCGGCGTCGCGGGTCTTTCGAGACACTCGGTATCCACTGGACCATCCTGAGCGTCACGGTGACGCCTTGGGTCTTGATAGATCTGCAGCGCGGAGCACAGAGTAGGTCGTCAATATTAGGTATCCCTCGCCACTTGACCCAGTCACTGGCCCGAGAGGCGGCCACTGGGTCAAGGTCTTTTAGGAGGCTTTCGAGTTTCTTGGATCGCGCGATATCCCTAACAAAGAGTCATTAGGATATCAGAGACGGGTCACAGGCACCTTGCTTGCACGAGCCCCTAGAAACGTTTGAGTCCCGCATGAAACAACTTGAATGAGATCAGAAACACTTGTGCGTCTTCCAGTCCGCCTTTTGACACTCCTTCGAGCTGACAATAATGACCTTGCATCACAGAGCTACATGACACTTCTCAGCTAAATGACATACCTGTAAAAGGTGTCCTGACATCCTGCGCACTTCGACAAACGTTTCTGGATATCGCGTGCTCCACATTTGTTGCAGCCTCGCACCTGCCGCATGTCAGTCTTGACAGTCCGCTTGCGTCATTCAATTCATTGCGATCCCCCCAGAGCGGTGAGTATTGGGTGCAGTGCTTCGCGTGCTCGAAGGAAAATTTAGCGACGGATATCCTCATTGAGACTGCAGGGGTTCTTGCGTAGGTACCTCGCAGAGATTTCCACATGTCTGCGTAATCGTCAGAGCCAATGAAGTCCGGAAAGACACGGCGACTACTCTTTCTGTGAATTAGCTTCAATATCCATTGCACTTAGAACAATTGCCATGTCAACGTGCGCTATCAATTTGGCACCGTTGTACTCCGCCGCAAACGTTTTCGCGTGAGGCGATTTCTCCCAAGCTTCAAGGACCCGTCCATGGTGTATGCTTGGTTTCCTCGTCACATATTCCTGCGAGCACGCGCGCAGGCGCATAATGTGAATACATGAATCTGAAATAAGTAAGATCCAGCTCCATACGAGAGGTTCAGGCATTTCCTCCAGCTGATCATGACATACGGGCCCAGCGACTTCTTTCATTTTGTCTTTCACCCCGGTACGTACAAGCTCAGGCACTGTGCAAATACCTCAATAACGATTCGGCGTCGAGAAGGTAGTAAAATATACTGCAGAGCTTAACCTCGTCCAAGTCCGGGAGCTTGAATCCGGAAGGTGGTTTCAAGTCCTTCCCTCTTCCAGAGAGGTGGCGCGAGAGTGCGAGACATTAGCGCCAAGAAGACTATCCATCATTCAACACGAGCGGAGGTAAGGCGTTCAGCAGGTACAAAAACCGGTTCTCAGACAATGTTCGTGCTTGCACCCCGTCAGAGCTTGTGATTCAACGCGTCGGGGCTTCGGCCTTTGCCGGGTTTGTTTGCTACATGTACAGCTTTCTATCGGTGTGGCACCGACCCCGGGCTCGCCAAACACTTAGGCAGGTGGTATGCTACGCTGATATTCTGTTTGTGCGCTGAAAATATTCGTGGGTATGCGCAGTATCTGTGGCTTCATTGGTGGGAACTGCACACAGTACCGGCGATGGAAATACAATCGGCCAGTGGGTGCTCGTCATCACGGCATCCACGTTTCTACATTGCTACACATAACTGCCTTGCCTATCCATTTCTGTTCAACTGATTTTGTGCAGGTAAGTTTTACACAGCTTCGTTTACCTCAAGGATAGATGCTGTTCGCAATACATATTGACAAATATTAGACTCGGCGTCTAGATAGGAAGCGCTACACGGAAGGTTCACCCAGTAAATGTCAGTTTGAAGCGCCCGTATGAGAATAAGTTCTTTGACAAACCTTATATCTTGATTAGCGAGATTTACTCTATAGGTGAAGCACTTCACAAAGTCTTGGAACGCAGACATATTATCGCACCCCACGGCAGTTTGAGTGCGTGCTATGGTGAAAAGACAAAGACCTGATGTGGTAGCGTGTGAACAACCTCGTTGTCTGCAGTTTGCACCCAGAGAAATTGAGATACCGTGCAATAATGTCGAGAACTCGGGATAACACGCAAGACTCTGTCAACACCGCGTAAATTCTCACGCGATTCCAGGACTAACGCCTACTTGGACGCTGAGTTGCATAGCAAGGAATCCGGGGATAGGAAGCCTTTATAAAGTCAGGCTATTAGTGGGAGGGCGGTACCGGTACCGTAGCTTCGATATGTTGTGTTACCGCCTTGACATTCATCGTGCATCAAGTTGCCATCAACACTGCCAGGACAAATGTTCCTCTATATTATGCCCTGTCTCGCGTTGGGAAACTTCTATCTGTCCTCGTCCCACACATGCATTCAGCGTTTGCCTGGGGAGCAGAGCAACAGACTATAGCGGTATGGGTCAGTGCGGTTCCCACTTTCTTCTCGCTTATTGCGGCCACCCTCGTCTTGACTGCTGCGGCTGCAATTTGGCATAATCCTGTGACGAGGCCTAGCTTGAGAAGACAAAGCTTACAGATGTTACTTTGGGTACAAGGCATGAGCTTGATTTACAATTCAACATATCTGTGAGTGACATGATGCGTCTTACCTATTCGTTCTAAAGCCTTTGGCAGTGCTGAGACATTCATCACTGGTCCTACAAAGTGGTGTAACATCGTAACCGTTATTACTATCGCCGCCAGTGCGTCCCTAGATTTTGTCCTTCGAAGCTTCCGGCCAACACACCTTGCAGGCAATTTCATCGATTTCGTGGTGATGCTGATCCCAGTAAATCTTCAACTTGTACTGGTGCACAGAATATCCTCAGAGGGATTCGTGCGGTATTATATCCTTGCCCCCTTAGTGGCAGCAGTCATCACCGCACTTCCAGGATGTGTGTCTGCTTTCATTACACGACCCCTGTGTGTAATCTGAATTATCATTACTTATTCCAGTTATCAAGACGGGCTGGGGCTGAGTCTCATATGTGCTGGATAGCTATCACCGAACCGCGCCTGCGTATCCGCTGGTTAGTCGGGGCGTGGTATGCATGGCTATTACTATCTATGGTTGTTGCGACCATCTCGACTGCAATCATGCTGGTCTACCTATTGCTCCAGACCCGCCGAAGAACTCCGAGCTTGACGAAAAATGTTAGGGTGAACGGGGTGAACATAAGAAGGGTGGTATGGAGAATTATACTCTATCCCCTCGTCCTGAGTAGGTTCACAGTTGGATCAGTCAGCGCCGCTAATGGATATGTTTGGTAGTCATTTCAAACTGCATCTCCGCTGTCGGAAACTTCGCCATAATACGCTCGAGAGGGATAGAATCGGAAGCCATTTTTGTCCTCTGGGTCATATCGGGGGGATTGTACGGTCTGGTCCCCGGCGCATACGCTCTCATTGTCTTGTTCGTGGAGTGAGTCTTTCAACTCCCTTCCGATCCCTCTCTGTCTTATTGTAGCTCATATTATTCTGCCAGTCCTAGCTTCTCCCGCGCCCTTCGCATCCTCTGTTCCCGGAGTGGACCCTTTGAGAAATCTGTGACCCTTATACAGATTGAGCTGAGGACTCAGGTCATTAGTGATTTTGTTGATGCCCTTGGAGGCGAAGAGGCGCAACAGGTGAAGTCTAAGGACCCAGAGGCGAGGGATCAACACAAAGAGGATAATGAAGACTACCGAGCTGCTGAGATAACACCAACAGAACATCTCGAAAGTATACCCTCTGGCAGCAGTCAAGAAAGGAGAGAGATGGATGACGTGCTGCATGCGGAAATTGCGCAGTTGTAGTGTGTGTGTATATTAGACTTACGCTGCTTCTTGCTTCATATATTTCTATACGAAGGACTCCTCTCTGATTGAGATCTTAAACTGAGTTACTCACAGACACGTTGACCGTACAGTGTGTACAGAGTCACTGTCCAGTACGAACATCATCCGTAGACTTGGGAGGCAAACGCGAATATGTAAGTAGCTGCGATGTGAGAGAGTAATCAGAAATACACTTTCACAACACTTCGTCCAGTGGTCATGACGGCGAGTGACTTTTCCAGTTGAAGGGTATTCAGAGTGCCGAGTGATCTCACGAAAGAATTACAGCAAGAATCAAAGAAATTGCAGTGTTTGCACACCTCAAGGCCGGAACTCTGAAGAAATCTGAAACATCAGAAACATGCTGAAAACCCGACGCCATTGGGCTGTGCTGGTGGGATCATCAGGAAAACCCTCCCGTCATAATTTTATGTAAATTTTGAGGGTTTATAAATAATCCATATAACACAGAAAGCGAGCGACAATCTGCTAGTATTTTCGTCGATTTTCTGTAATTATGTCTAGGTACCATTGTCAAATAGCGTCATTTCATATTATCTCTATTATACAGCTTACA